TGATTTTGCTGGTGGTTAGTACAGCTTTGTACCCAGTTGGGGAGCTGGACATACCCAGTTTAATACCTTGTATTCTTCTTTCATCACCTGTTCAATGAGCTCAGATTTCATGGGTGGTTTGGAGTACTGGCCTGAGAGCAGTCCGTGTCCCAGTTTAGCCCTGTGGGACCAAAACAAAGGCATAAACAACGGTCAGGTGTTTATTTACAGTCAGTCTCTAACATCCTGTATCAGAAACATGTTTGTCTGTGGTATTATTGATTATGGATCATTTCACAAGACAGTATAATCAATTATCATGGTTCAATTATAACAGACTGATGTGTTGATTTAACATTAACAAAAATGTCTTTTCTTAGTGAATCATTTTACAAGAAATAATTCTGTCCATGAATCAGAGGTCATGTATATGTCCATATATGGAGGCGTCACAGTCTGTGATCAGGAAAAGATACGTCTTAATTTCTTGAGATAATAAACAACATGAGGTGACAGAAAAGGTGTTGAAATGTGTTGTTGATTAAAGAGTAAACCAGAACAAACATGTTTATGTGACTCCGTCTGCTGACATTACACTGTGACACAACAGACGCTCTGTGTACACCGTCTCTGCCGTTCATCATGACCACAGCGTCCACTGAGCCACAGCGCGGCTTGAGTGTCAACAAAACATCACGTCTAAGATTCTCAGACAAGATTTAATAACGTGGAGAGACTGAATCTGATTCTGCAGCCAGTGAATATAAACGGAGACAATAATGAGCTCTTTGTGAAACCAAGAGAGTTTAACGTGATTTGCTGTTACTGCTGCTGCTGCTGCTGTTACTGCTGTTACTGCTGTTACTGTTACTGCTGCTGTTACTGCTGCTGCTGTTGCTGCTGTTACTGCTGTTACTGTTACTGCTGCTGCTGTTGCTGCTGCTGCTGTTACTGCTGTTACTGTTACTGCTGCTGCTGTTGCTGCTGTTACTGCTGCTGCTGTTACTGCTGTTACTGCTGTTACTGCTGCTGTTACTGCTGTTACTGTTACTGCTGCTGTTACTGTTACTGCTGCTGCTGCTGCCGCTGCTGGTCTGTGTGACGTAACAGTGAACTCCCTCACATTTGTGTGGCAAAGTTCCTGGGTGGGGTCGAGGGGTGAATAGTCATATATCCTCTGAAGATTCCCCACGTACCTGATGATGAGAGGACAGGTCACGACCTCTACTACTGGAGGTCACAGTGGTCACTCTACAGTGTTGGCTTCTAATCGTTTTGATTGATTACACCATTATTAAAATCATTCCGTTGTGTTTTACTCACATCCTCTGAAAGTCGGGGATACTGAAGAGCACCTGCATCACTGTGCACAGGTAACAGGTGTTACCCAGGTTTTTGACGCCCGTGTAACCAGGACCATACAGAGCCTTCAGCTTCATACCCGACTCCTGGATCACCTCCCATTCACTGACCCGCGGCCTTGAACTGTTTTCTGTGTGGTTCCCATTCTCTGTCTGAAGAGTCGAAGAAAACGACGTAAGGCTTGAGTCAAACACGACCATCTAATCCAGATTATGTTTTTATAAAATTCTCCCTCAGGGAACGTTTGAAGAGCTCGCCTTTATCAACCAGCAGAGGATTCTTTTATATATTCTCACCTCAGGTTTTTATCTCATTAAAAATCAGTGTCAACCACCGTCTGTTCAGATTGGTTTGTGTAGATTTATAGATTCTGTCTTTTAAATGAGAACTAGAGATAGAACTCACTCTTTGCTGCATCTGTAACATGTCTATCCCAAAGTGTGACAGGTGCTCTGATATGTTAGGGTCCAACACAGCTTCTTCCTCCTCAAACGAATAGACGTCTAAACGACAAAGGAGCCGTCAATCAAATGAAAGACCACACATGTGGAACACGGACTCATCACGTGACCCGTACCTGCTCCGTCCGGCGTGATGGTGTCCATTTTGACGGCCAGCGGGTGGCTGGTCTCTCTGTAGTGCTCCAGAGCGTGGCCGTTTCCTCCGCTCCCGTCGAAGAACCACTTCCCACAGAGAACGGCTCCGTCCGTCAGGTTCAGCCACAGGTTCTCCCTCATCTCGCACTTCTGGCATTTCCAGCCACTGGTGACACAGGAAAGAGACACTGATCAGAACGCCGTCTTTTAGGATGACCCCCTCTAGAACTCTAGAACTTTGGTTTGGTCTAATAAACCAAAATTAAACCACTCCTCTGCCTGGGGGGGGGTTAGGGTCACAGTCATCTGAGTGCCCGTCCTACCTGGGTGGGATTCTGACCCCGTTGTCCAGCTGTCGGAGGCTCCGGGCATGTCTGGACACCTGGATCTCCTCTTCCCAGGATTCAGGCTCTTGTTTCTTGTACGCTGACGGTGCGTTTAGGACGGCATCACAGGCAATGGTGACCTGTGCATCAGTGGGTCACAGTGTGGTCACATGTAGGTGAAGTCATGTTGATAAAAGATCAACTTTTTATTAAAAAAAAGGTCAAATAACATGTATGCAGCAGAGGAAAAACTATATATTTTAGGTCAGATAACATGTATGCAGCAGAGGAAAACTATATATATATATATAAATGAAAGTGCTCAAATTTGCAGCAATACACATGCACAAAACGTGGAGGAAGGAAAAAAGAGAAACTTTGTGGACATGCAAAAAATAAACAAAGACAAAAAAAAGTTACGATGTCTGTTTTCATGCAGGAAAACTCATAAACCGGACGTGCACCACGTGGTTCCCTTAGTTTTCTCAAAAACTCACTGAACTCTGAAAATAATACGGTTGGCAATCATTGTAGTGTTACTTTGTCGCCCCCGTGTGGATCAAATTATCCACTACAGGATGTACTGGGAAAAAAAATTGAATGGCTCCAGTGTAAACACTGTATTTACATAAAATTATTGACTACAAATGTTGAGGGGAAACACCAAGTGCACCCTCGACCAGGACATGCACACACACACACACACACACACACACACACACAGCCCATGCAGCACCAACTCACTGACCAGGGCGGGCAACTCCTCAATATTTGGTAAAGGGATTTCAAAGTGGTCTGGGAAAATGACGAGCTTGGCTTCATCCTCGTACTCATAGTCCTCACCGTTAAAATCACGGTTTAGTTCTAAATCTTAAAAGGAAAGAAAAAGAAGGAAGCAGACGTTCAGTGACTGCTGCTGAAGACGGATGTCATCGACAGACCGTGGATGGAGGAGGAAACATCTTCAAACAGTCAGGAGACACAGAAGAACAAGAACATCACTGTCCAAACGTTTGTCGCGATGACTCGGATAAGTTTGACATTTGTGACATTTTTGGGAATTGGAAAGTTTTAAATCTGTCTCAACCTCAGAATAAACGGTACAGAAGGGATTTTACTCTGTCGGTTGTTCAACAAAAGGTCAGAAATCTTTAAATGTTTAGTTTTTTGTTGCTGTGAAATGTTCATTCCTAAAGAAGCCTACGTTTTATGATTTATTAATTTTAGATAAATTAATAAAACTTTACTTAATCATAAAAATGATGAAGTAAAGCCATAACAAAGAATGATTCCAAAATTGACCAAATACTTCTGTCGACCTTCGACCTTTGAAATGACCTCATCTTTCTGTAAGGAAACAGAGACGACGCCTCGTCTCCAGCTCTGCAGCTGTTGGTCCTAAACTCAAACAGCATCGTGGGTCATCACTGACACAGGGATGATCACGGTGACCACGAGCAGCTGATTAGATCACTGCACCGGTGTGGGGATGACGGTGCACACACACACACACACACACACACACACTGCTACGTCACAGATCCAGACCAGAGCGACAGACACCACTGTACCGTCAGAGAAACCACGCTGTCACATGACAGTTAACGGAAGGTCAAATGAATGATGGGAATTTTGTCCTGAATTATAATAAAAAAATTCCATTCTTGTGGAACGATTTGGGAAACAGTGACGTCTGGTCGTCTCCGTGCAGCAGCGTCAAAGCTGCGGCGGGAGTGTGTCGGCCGAGACGGGTGTTTGACGGGTGGTGGCAGCTGAGAGGTCGGCGTCTCACAGGAGGCGGCCTCACTGTAAACCGAAGAGGAGGAGGAGGAG